CCAGACATGTAACGAGTTCCATAAGGCTCTGAGTATGGACCAGACATGTAAAGAGTTCCACAAGGCTCTGAGTATGGATCAGACATGTAAAGAGTTCCACAAGGCTCTGAGTATGGATCAGACATGTAAAGAGTTCCACAAGGCTCTGAGTATGGATCAGACATGTAAAGAGTTCCATAAGGCTCTGAGTATGGATCAGACATGTAAAGAGTTCCATAAGGCTCTGAGTATGGACCAAACATGTAATGAGTTCCTTCTACTTAACTAATTACTTTGAAATTCAATTTACAGGGAGGGAGCCTATTGTGATATTTGAGGAGATAGGAACTTCAAATAATCTCCTAGGAAAGTCAGTCAGCAAAGATCATCAAGTTAAACTAACTATGGATAAGCTTTAGTTGAGTTGCATATATATATATATTAAACAATAAAATAATTGTTAAACTAGAAACAGAATTTCTAGAATAACATTTTACTTACATAATCACAAAACATCAATTCCAGATTATTATTGTTACTGCATCAGAATTATGAATTAGAATATAATAAATAGCATAGTATTTAAAACAACGATAAGTAAAAGATGGTATCACTAATCCTACCTAACTTCCATAAAGTCATCTTCTTTAGCTCTCTTACGTACAAGATATTCTGCCACCATTCCTTCCTCAGCTTTCTTCTTACGCAGCAGTACACAGTCAGCTTCCAGTGATGAGGCCAAACTCTGCAAAGTTGCAATGGATGCTTCAAGTTCATCTTCACCGAGTCCATTTTCTCCAGTTTCTGTATAAAAGTTGATTACTTCCATATTTAAAATGTATGTAAACTCACATAAGTAAGTTATGTAAATAACTATATACACATTTCAATTTGAAATGATAAAATTAGGGAATTTTAGCAAACTCTCAACTATGATATTTTGGGTCAATTATTTTGCACAGGTGAACTCTTTAAATTTTAAACTTACATATTTGTTCTAATGTGTTTACAATTTCAATCATAAAATTTCTTTTTGGTATTTATGAATAAGTTAGTAAGTTATATAGAACAATATGGAGTAATTTGTCCATTTAAAACAAAATATTGGCTTAGACATGTCCTCTATTTAATAAACTATGTTATTAAAACAAAATATTGGCTTAGACATGTCCTCTATTTAATAAACTATGTTATTAAAACAAAATATTGGCT